GGACATGGCAGCCCTGGAAAAGAATTAACTCTTGATTTAATTCTTTTCCAAACCAACTTGGGATTTAATTCTTTTCCCAAACAACCTGTACACAAAGTCTATTCCACCATGGTGCCCACAAAAGAGTCAACTCAGGATTTAATTCTTTTTGAAGGGATCCAAATAGCAATAAAGTACCACATTGGGTAGGGGGCACATAAAAAGAATTAAATCCTGAGTTGATTCTTCTACAATAGGGATGGTACCAAGAATTAACTTGGGAGTTAATACTTCTCAGGGGGTAGCTGATAGGTACCAAAAGATAAAGAATTAACCCAGGAGTTGAGAATATTCAACTTGGGTATTCACTCCTTGTCGCATACCCAACTGACCAACCAGTTGCTTGGCAATCACTTTACAGGTCTCTTTCGTGATTTAAGCATTCCCGATCATTGTCTTTATGTCTGGTGATACACATGTTCATGTTTCTCTTGATCCCCTTTATTTGTCTTGTAAGGCAGCACTGCTTGAAACAAAAAAGAACACAGACAGGGCATGATAGGCCATGAGAGGGTCATGATATGCGTGTCCTTTTCCTTCGAAGAGACTCGACTCTTCCACCGAATGTCTTACTTGATTCTTCCTCCGAATGTCTTACCGAGTTCAGAACGGTAGGCGAGTACGAGAAGGCGATCTCCTGCTACCAGGAGGCGATCGATGGGATGCGAGTCCGGTGGCGTGTTGACCCGCGAGCCCGGTGAGTGGCGAGACAGGCGGCGTGTTGGGCGCAAAAAGGATCCCAAGATGTGGGAAGGTTGCTGCAAGATGGAAAGTCCACGACTGGTGGCACCTTCCCAACATTTCCAAACGCATTCGGTAGGGCAACAGCAATACTTACAATGACATCATGCTGGAAGTACTGAAGTGACTGGGACCAGTGGTTGAAGTCTCTGAATTTTGGTCCAAGTCACTGAGCCCCTCATATTGGCACCACGTTCAACACTGCGCCACGTTCAACACTGCGGTGCTGCAGGCTATTGACCTCTGTGAGGAGCACGGAGGTGTGCTGAGAAGACTCTTGTAGAAGAAATGACAAGAAGGTGCATGTAAGCAGATGTTTTCTTCCCAACTGGAGAGCATACGGACATACTGGACAGTTAAAGGGGTCCAACAATCTGCAAGAGCTGGGTTGCACACTGTTTGTCAATACGCAACATACAGGTAGACTATGATAGACTCATGAGCCATCATAAACCCTTGTCAAGTTTCGTCATTCATTCTCTTCAAAACAAGTCGGCTGGCCTCGGCGGCCTTGAGAGAAACGGTGCTTCCTCGAACGAAAAAGACATCGATGAGAAAACATGAGAAAAGAAAGTAAGAATTCAGGATCCATTTGCTTATAAGGTCTCCTTATCTCGGGGGGGCCTTACCACCCGTCTTCTTCTGTTTCTTCTGTTCAGCCTTGGTTTCGTTTGCCCAATGATTTCGTTTCCACGTCCAACATGATATCCGCAGGCCCTGGAACGCCGTGCGGGCACGCGGGCCACTGAGTGAGTTCTCAAGCACTCCATTCTGAGAGTAGTGTCCTTGCTCCTAGTAGCGTTCTTGCTACTAGTAGCGATGCCAGGAGCCCCTAGTGGCTTCTTGCTCCTAGTAGTAAGGCCAGGAGCCCCTAGACGCAGAAGGTTGGTTGAATGAGTTGAATGATATTTTTTTCCTTATTATCCTTGTTGTTCTTGTTCATCTTGTTTTGCTCTTCTTCCTCCTCTTCCTCTTCCTCCACTCTTCCTATTCTTTTCTTTTTCTTCATCTTCATCTTCATCTTCTTCATCTTCATCATCATCATCATCATCTTCTTCTTCTTCTTCTTCCCACGTCTTCTTCTGCATGCTCAGAGCCACCATGTCGAAAAGGTCTGACTCAAAGCAAAAGCAAACCAATATAATAGTTTCAATAATGCGACCATGTTTGGAAGACATTTTCAGCACCACGGCTGCTTTCAAGCAGCTTCCAAGACAGACCCAACCAAACGCAACCACCCCAGTGCAACATGTCCATGTTGGACTTGTTGATAAAGATGCTCGGTCCGAGCGAGGTGCCAGAGGTCGCATGCGCGACACCTGAAAGTGGTTGGTTCCCTTGATTTCTGGCCATGTGGGACCTATGAAGATTTGAATCTAAATAGGAAAAGAAAAAGGACATATCCTATGTATTCTTATACTTCTCTATGTTCCTACTTCTGTCCCTATTGTTGGCCCAAACACGGAAGCCTCGTCTCATGACCTTTGCCGCACCAGGCCATGGAGCGCGTCGCGAGCAACCGCGACAACCTTGTGAGGCTGAGGCTGGGTCGCTGGCGAAAGGTCTGGTGCAAAATCCAAGACCTACGAGCCTAGTAGACACGCCCGGGCCCGACACGCCTAGAAGGCACGCCTAGTAGGCACTTCGGGCTTTGTAGCATGGACAAATCCCAAGCCCAGCTGAACATAGAGAGGAATTGAGAAGGAGCATTGAGATCATTGGGACATGAAGATTGCATTATGAAAAGGTGAAATAGTGAAAGACCCTTTCTACGCTGCGACCGGTGGGCCGTTGGACCCTTTCGACCAGTTTCCCACAGGTACAACCTGGCCAGAGCATTCCATCGCTGTGACCGGTGGATGGAGGCTGGATTCCAATCTTTTTCAAGGCCCAAAATTGACCGTTACTCTTCGTGTTGGGCGGAATTCGGGGGCGAGCTGGCTACTGTAATTATATACTATATTTGCAGTTGTGTTTTTGCGCCCATGGCCAAGAATGCCGAGCCACCATTGGTTGCGCCCCAGGCTACCAAGTTGGGATGGGGATTGATTTTTTCCCAGGCTCGAGAGCAAGCGTCTGCCGTGCTCAGTTTGGACAGCGGGCATCTCAGCCGGCACCAAAAAAACTAGAGATGAGCTCGCTTGGTCCTGTCCATTCCAAAAAGCAGAACATCCAATGTGGCATAAACCTGCATGTCCATTTTCTTTGTGGCGCTGCGCTGGCAGCGTTGCTCATGTGCTTCGTAGAGAAACGCTTCTCTTGGCTTCTCCGAGGTGACTACCTCAATGCCTATGCCTTGCGTGCGCAGGTCGGCGTGCGACTTTCGGATCGTGAAGTATATGTGCAACACACACGTGACTCCAAGCTGGATATTTCATGGATTTTCATGGTTGGTTTGGTGAACACAGTCCAATGAAGCTTTGTGGACCCTGGAAAGCAAGTGCAGTACATATATGTTATATGTACATATAATATATCGCTTGAGGTGGCAAACACATGCAAACATAGGAAGGTTTTGAGGTGCAAAGAAGACAGCAACGTGAACAAAACACTGGAAATGGGTCAGTCATGGTCAGTTGGGTTGGGCTGGGATCGGTCGTGATCACCATATGTTTCTGTGTCGTGATGAGCGGGGGGGGCACCTTTTAGGGTTCTTTCACCTAGCATGGCCAACAACACCAGACACCAATACTTCTTGAAGGTGGCAGTGATCCTCGAGTGAGAAGTACCACCGGTGACCTATTGGATTCGTTCGCCGATTTCGTCGGCCAACGCCCACGTCGCTTCGCGCACGCGAAATGGCGCCCCCTCCACCGGTCAGCGACGTCCAGCGGCGACGTCCAGTCCACGAGGCGGCCATGTCTGCCTTGGACTGGTCTGCGGCGAAGGCCGACTGGGAGCGACTGGGCCTCCTGGCTGACCAAGGCACGGTGGCTTGACGCGAAAAGGCGCGTAAGTTGAGTGACGTCATGGAGGAATGGACTGAGCAGGGAAGCACTCTGAGCACTCGCTGCGAGGGGTTCGAAAGCAACTGGTCAGTAGATTTGGTCATATCCAGTTCAGGGCTTCGCCACGCTTTGATAGGTGTAGATGCCTGTATTAGATAGCCGCTAGCCAAGTTCCTTTCGTTGGAGGGCCAGCAAGTGAGGCTTCCTGGGATACCCCAAAGATAGAAGATATCCTCCAAGTACCAATGGACGAGGGAGTATATATCCAAAGAAAAGGCAGCGGATGAACTTCCACTGACAACTCGCTTGTAGCTGTTTTGGCACTGTCAGATTTAAAGCTGCTATTGGGCCCGTTTCAAGATGATCTTTCAAGTACTCGGCATGGCATTCACTGCAATGGCCCTCGCAGAGAAGATGGAAGATATGCCTGAGACTTGGCGAGATGCAAGCGATGCAATGTCCAGCGATGCTTGATTTCGCACAAGCACTTGTTTGTCCAGCAATCAATTGTTATTTTTTAAAGTTTGCATATGTTTGCAGTGTCATGTAGTTCAATTGCAACTATTTTGAAACGTAGACGGGGAGAGGAGATGAGAAATACTGACTGTATGTCGAATTCGTATCATTTCTGGCCGTGTGGTCCATGGCCATGTCGTTTGACTTTTGTGTGCCTCGAAAGAAGCTTGGCCTCCTTTCTGTCAAACCTTGGATGCTGTGCCATCAGGTGTAGGCATATGAATCAACTGAAGCTTCTTTGTTGACCATGTTCATCGGTTTCATCCTTTTGCGCTCCCTTTTTCATCGCTTTTCCCTTTGGAAGGACGGCACCACTATCCTTTGCCACTTTGGAGTGCGTTGTTCAGGCCCCCTAGGCTTGGGTGCATGCGAATGCTTGGAGGGAGACCAAAAGCACCTCAGGGGCCACTCCCCGCGCCGGACTGCGGACGGCGACTCTCCGTGGGTCTCGGCGGGGACGTCAGAAGCGTCAGAAGCGTCGAACGACGGGAGGCAACTTGCAGGGCCGAATTCCACTGGATCGAAGACCAAGTCTCGCAGATCAGAGCTGCTGGGTAAGTACCTGGGCGAAAGCAGGCGAAAAGCACAGCAGTTCACCATGGCCGAAGCCATGGCCTTTTTTCCTTTTTATAAGCTGTATGGCTGTATTGGATTAAGACCTGCTTTGGTTGAAAAAGCAGAAGTTGTTTGGCTGTTGCTTTTCTTTGGAGTCTCTTTGGCCCGGGGCCCCAACGACGTGAGGTTTCGAGTGAGATGCCACTGTGGAGTCGTTTGCCAGTGGGGAGTCCACAACTATGGGCGAATCAAGGTTTGCAACGGACCTCTCTTTTGCAGATCTTGCTTTCCATCTTCTCCAGCCTATGGGTCAGTTGGTGGGGTCCGGTGATTGGGGATCTCTCCAGGTATTGTTTTTCTGTCGGACACCAGGTAGGATTCACTCTAAATCATGCTGTGAAAAGCTGCTCGTTGGAGGGATCCTGATCTTCAATTTGCAGGGTCGCTGGCTAAAAAAGCCAAGACTTGCGCAGGCGCATGGGGTTTGCGCACTTGTTGAAACGATTTTTCACAGTCGCAGAAATCAACCACGCCTTTGCACAGCACTGGACTGGCGTTCATCGTTCCTTGGCGCTTGTACAGCGAATTTGGCCAAGGTGGATGTAAGTTCAGCCGCTCAGAGAGGGAACGGTTCAGCCGCTGAACCTGCCCCTCGAAAAGACCGCCAGAAAGTGGGCGCGTGCATGCCGGATTGTCGGAAATGGCCAGTTTTCTGACCACTAACATCTGCAAGATTTGCATCACGACTATGCCGATGGGAGCACGACAGGCTGACAGGCTTTAGATGGGCACCTGTCTTCGCAGCTCAATTCCAGGTGTTGCTCCGGTGAGCCCAGAAGTGCTTTCTGCATGGCAGAGGCCAGAGATGGCAAGATATGGTCAGATGGACTTCCTTGAGAATGTTCCTAGTAGCGTCCTTGCTCCTAGTAGTAAGGCCAGGAGCCACTAGTATTATGTCTGCCAGACCCCTTTATTCTAGAAGTTTATCATCTTGAAAAAAAACAAAAAAACAATCACAAAATGCAACCAGAAAAACAAGAGCAATCACAAAAGCAAAACATATAGAGCAAACGTAACTAAGCAATCACAAATTGCAGCCAGAAAAACGAAAGCAATCATAAAAGCAAAAACCACAAACAAAAAAGACCCTTGTCCAGCACCAACCCTACCCGGCCCCTCTGTGTTTTGCTGGTGCTTTTTTGGTTGCGTTTTGTTGTTTTTGTTTTTGCTTTCTTGGTTGCTCTTTGTTTTGCTTGTGCTTTTTTGGCTTGTTTTTTTTTGGTTTTATTTTCAAGTTTGTTGATTTCTAGAGTAAAGCCACCTCTGGTGGACATAACACTAGTAGCGTTCTTGCTCCTAGTAGTAAGGCCAGGAGCCACTAGTACTGGTGGTTTAGTATCCCACATGCAAAATGTATTAACTTCAACGGGCACCAGTAGCGTTCTGTCTCCTAGTAGCAATGCCCTTTGTTCCTAGTAGCTACTTGCTCCTAGTAGTACGGCCAGGAGCCCCTAGTAGCGAACATTGCTAGTACGACGTACGGGATGTCATAGTGTTGATACTTTGTCGATTCGTTTTCAACATAGAAACAATCTGAGATCTTATGAGATCTTAAGGCGCTTAGATGGATCTCATGTCATTCTTTTTTCGATGATGGATGGTGTATCTTTTTTTCACTCAAACTGATTCGAAGGCGAAAGGAGGAGTGCTGTCGGCAGCTAGCCCAGGACATAATTCTATTTGATGATACGTGCACATCGAGATTATCATAGAGTGGACGTAGAACGATGAGATGTGGACATTGAGCACATGTATATAACAGTATATATATATAGAGTCTTATATAATTGTATATATATATTACATATATAATCTGTGCGTTTACTACCTGCAAAGTGCATACATAGCAGTCCGTGGCATTGAAGCTTTCTACAACCGCTTGAATTTGCGTCCGTCAGCCAGGACCATTACGAGGCCTTGGGACTGCCGAAGCTTGCAGATGTGGATGACGTGCGGAAGGCCTATCGAGCCTCGGTGGGATCAGACTGGTTGGGGCCAGAAAGGTAATTCTTCCTTTGTATAAAACCAAAGGACACACATAGCCATATTCTTTCTTAGGTTTGAATGACAGATGGACATAGGCTTGTTGCGTTGCTGGTTCCCTTGCCTCCCTTGTGACCAATTCCAACCCTTTTGCGCGGAAGCGCCGTGTCATGTGGCTTCCAGTCTGATTCCTTCAAGCGAGTCATCACATCACCGTCAAACAGTTGGAATTTCTACCAAAAAACCGAGAGGCTTTGATCATGAAGGTTTCCGTCGATCCTAGCGAGTGGCATTGCAAAACGCAACTCCAAGGAGAGCTGGCAAGACGTTGGCACCCGGACAAGCACCAAAGCAGGCGAGGACTTCTCAAGGTCTCAGCATTCTGAAGCCTCGAGCCTAATTACTAGTAACAAGTGCATCGCTACTAGAAACAAGTGCCTTACTAGTAGTAACAAGAAGCTACTAGGAACAAGTGCATCGCTACTAGGAACAGGTGCCTTACTAGTAGTAACAAGAAGCTACTAGTAACAAGTGCATCGCTACTAGGAACAAGTGCCTTACTAGTAACTAGTAGTAACAAGAAGCTACTAGGAACAAGTGCATCGCTACTAGGAACAAGTGCCTTACTAGTAGTAACAAGAAGCTATTAGTAACAAGTGCGTCGCTACTAGGAACAAGTGCCTTATTAGTAGTAACAAGAAGCTATTAGGAACAATAAGCCACTAGGAACAAGTGCATCGCTACTAGGAACAAGTGCCTTACTAGTAATAACAAGAAGCTATTAGAAACAATATTTTAAGTAACATTCAATGCGTTGCCAGGGCCCCTGATTTGCGTGATCGGGCAAGCAAGCGCTTCACCCGCATTCGGCAAGCCTACGAGGTCTTGAATGACGAGGTGCGGTTTTTATTGTGGCAGGCTATGCCGAAACCAGACATTCAGCTGAAAGTAGGTGAGTCAGCAGGCTAAGCTCAAGCAGCAACAAAACGTTCACAGTCAATAAACACAAATCAGAACCCCCACCAACGGTCACCAACGAATATCACTAACGTGAGTCAAGCTCTGAACAAGATGTTGGGTGGGTGGACGGATGAGAGGTATATTGAGCCTTCAGTTGATGCGGGTTGTAAAGGGGCCAGGGCGAGGTGGGAGCATTGGGGGAGTCCTTGCGAGGACCAAGATGATGTCGTGGTTGTGAGACCCCTGAAATGGCTATGCTTGTCAAATGGGTGAGTTGGTTCACGTGCGTTTAGCTTGGATGCTTCGGTTGACGGCTAGATTCAGAACATTTAGTTGCTAACCATTCAATCCATTTAGAATTTAGATTATATACCGACTTTGCCATTTTGCTTGCCAAGCTGCTGATTGTTGGTTTCCAAGTGGGCCGCTTGGGTTTCCCTCAGTTCCTTGCTGCAACCTCAAGCCTGAAGGGTTGATTGCTTGCCTGTAGTTCCAGCATGTTCAAGCAAGCAGGTTCTTGTGGCATGTCAGTGGCCGGTGATCACTTTGAGGATTCGTCAATCCTTTGGCTGGAAACAAAAGAATGACCACATGCTCAGCCAAACTGTTCCACCCTGCAACACACCACCTTCGCTGTTGCAAATGTGGGAACCTATCATTTTGAGTGTAGCGGCTGTAGTGGCAACAACAATGCAGCAACCAGCTGTTCAAGTTCAGGTCCTTTTATGGCTTTTCTTGGCCTTCAGGTCGTTCTCGCAGATTGCACGCAGCAGTTCGTGTTTGCAAAGCCATTTCTTGGGGGACACGATGCAGGGCCTGAAGCACAACTACGACACGGAGCTCATGCTTTCAGAGGCACTGCTTCCTTCGAGAGATATTGGCTTCATTGAATGCCTCCTTGAATTTGCTTGCGTTTGACCGATGACCGTCCGAAGAAAACAGATGGACGGGCGATGCTGTTTGTCCTTTCAAATTTGCTTTTAATTAAAGTCTAATTCTTGTTTCTAATAGCTTCTTGTTACTACTAGTAAGGCACTTGTTACTAGTAGCGATGCACTTGTTCCTAGTACTTGATGATTTTCCGCAAGATCATCTATCCACACTGCGCCACTGTGACATGCGTCCAGGCAAGACCACTCTCTTCGGCTGTCTCATCTAAAGGCGAGCTGTCGACGCAGGGAGCACTAGATGAGGATGTTACTGAGTGGGTTGCCAATGAACATTTGCTGTGCCATGCTGTCTCTCACTGCTGGCAAGCATCCCCAGTTTTTTTCGGATGACTCCTTTGATGTCATTTGGCCTACCGCGTGCGGAAACAAAAAGGACACAGACTACAAACACAGGATGTTCTGAGCGGTGGCCAGCCCGAGAAGTGGATGTTCAGAGCGGTTGTAGGCGTGGAACGGGAGCTCTTCGACCACTTTGAACGCGCATGGGCAGACCATGTAGCTTGGACTGGGAACCGACTACTGATGGCGTTTAGTAAAAAAAGGCCGTGCATGGTCGAAGGCAGCAGGTTTGTTTTATTTGTTGTGCCTATTGAGGACCCTAGGCCCATCGAGATCCAAAACAAGAAGCTAGTAGCACTTTCTCCGAAGAGGATTGAAGTGTAGTGCAACCTGATTCCTTCCTACGACTACATTCTTCCCCCAACAAATCAAACAAAGGTGTTTCCTGATGTGACGACAGTTGGTCCACTGCTTGCTCATGAGCATCAGTACCATCACATCCTGCACACGGTGAGAATGGCACATGTTGAGTATGGCACAACATTCAGAATCCCTTCAGGACCCATGATCACACCCTCAGATGTTCGGCCTCTTCCTGCTTTTTCCACACTGTCGTCGACCTGATCTGCCGCTCAGGAGCGGGTGCTTTGAGGCGCCACCAAAATGGTCCAAAGATTCGGACCTGGAATCGACACTTGCAAAGTCAAGGGTGATGTCGGCGTCGCATTCGATGAACACAACTCGATGTCGGCGTCGAGCTGAACACTTCGACGTCAAGCAATTCCGTCCAGGAATCCTGGGTCAGCCGATTCGGAATTCACAGGGTTCATAGGGAACCGCGGTCCAATCCACCCCAAAACGTTGTGGGAAAAGATTGCACAAACTCGAAAGTGGGCTGCCGGTTCTTTCACAAGAACTGGCTTGTCTCGGACACCAGCCCTTTGTGAGTGCTTCAGCAAGAGCCTGCTACATCACAGGCTAGGACTTGCAATTAGACGCCCTGAGTCCAAGAAAACCGCTTGGAAGCAAAAGAGATCCACTGAGTCCAAGACGCAGGTGATATTCACTTTGTCCTGATTTGTCCTGAGTCTGATGGACTTCTTTCCATCGTTTTGTTGATGTTGCAGATTTGGATTTTGACGATAACCAATTTTGAAGACATTTGTAGCCGCTGTCCAAACCTGCAGCGGGATCGAAAGGCCTCTAATTATACAATCATCCATGCATGGTCCATGATGCGAAATCCCAAAAAAGTAGCCAAACATGTAGCCTAACTTGCAACGAGCCAACCAAAGCATACAACTGAAAGTAAACAAGAATCTAATATATACATACATATATATATATGTACATATAGATCGCCATATGATATATATATATATAAGTCTTAAGACAAGATTCAGAATCAACACAGGAGTACGGGCATCCAATGAGTGACACACACACAATACGGGAATAAAGGGCCAACACGCAAGTCATTTGGGAATTTGAAGAACGGACGCTGGAACTGGTCAAGCACAACACGAGACACAGTACTAGAAAGCACTGGATCGAACCTCAACAGTGAAAACTTCAGCTCACTCTCAGCTCCCACCCATTTCCTACCCCCCACCCTACACCTTTAGCGCATGTCGCATGTCGCGGTTTTTCAGTGCAGCATGTGGTTGCGTGACGACCTGTGAGCCTTGCAATGGTTTCGTTACGCTTGGCAGCCGGATGCCTGGCATTCCGCTTGGCAGATGGCTTTGCACGCAATGCGCTCCTTGCAAACCAGATCATGCTTTTTCAGTGCCTTGAGCCGCAAACAACATTGGAAGCAGTCAGGAAAAGGGTTTGAACAAGTCATAGTATGATGTTCTTTGATGTTTTTGCAACATTTGATATTGTCATTCTAGTTGTGATTCTGTCTTCCCCACACTGAGCACCTCTGCTCCACCACTCGCTCCACGTGGCAGGCACCTCTGCCACTTCGGTACGAACACCGCCCAGCGCGCTGCCAAGTTTCTGAACGCGGCCTGCGCGGTGACGCCGTTGGTCGTTGGAGCCTATCAGAGCCGATCTGGCATGAAACTCTCGATGCTGGCGCCTCAACGGCCCCGTCTCGATGCGCGGTGTTGTGTTTGATGCCCAAACCTAATGGCCCATAACAGCCCTCCCCCCCGATGTGTTGATGGTGTCGTTGTTCTCACATATGTTTTAAAGATTATATATGCATAGGGGCAGTTCCTCCAGCAAGGTCCTTTTGTCACTTTTTAGTCTATGGCCAAGTCCGAACACCGTGCTGATGTGGGTTCTTTCAATTGGATGCGCGACAAGGCGGGAGGTCACAGGTCTTCGCAGGTCACGGTGTTGGTTTATATGAGCAACCGCCAAAACGTGTGAAGACTAATTTAATCAAGAAGAGTCGTGAATGTCAGGAATTTGATGGAATTTGGCTACAACTTGCAAAAGCGATAGGGCCCCCTCAGCGATTGGCCCATGTCGCTGCAGCTTTTCGGATATCTTCGGCTGTGTGAAAAGGAGTGAATTCAGGAGTTAAAAAGAAATAACTCTTGAGTTAGTTCTTCAGGATCCTGTACGTTTCAACAACCTGTTGACTTGAATTACCTCTGGAGGTACTTCTTTTTCAGCCGTGGGCATGTCTATGAATTAAGTCCTGATTTAATTCTTTTTGAAGCCTGCCCACAGGTGGCGGATTTAACTCGAGAGTTAATTCTTTTTCATGTGGGTTTCCACGCCTGGAAAAGAATGAACTCAGGAGTTAATTCTCCAGAATGGTGTCAGGAAGAATGCTGTTCATAATTGTTCGCCCCACACTGGTCGCTTGCCGGAGTTATTTAACTCAAGACGCTTCGCGTCGACAGCGGGCGGAGCCTCGTCTGTACACGTGGAATTTCCCTCGAATGTACACGCGGAGAATTGATTTCGTTTGTGCACGTGAAACTCGGATGTGCACGCGGCTTCCTCGGCTGTACACGCGGCTTACACGGCTGAAAAAATGAATGAATGAATGAATGAATGGAACCCGACCAGATTGTTTCACAATCTGAACCTTGTTGTCTCATTTTACGTCCATCGCTTTAGATGCGCTGTTTGGGCTGTCAGATCCGTGGACGGGCGCAGCGCGCAGACATGCGAGCTGCGGAACATGTGTCGTTATGATTTCGACAGGAAGTCACGTTGTTAAGTACCTTCACCTTAACACGTCAGAAGATGAAACGCCCGTCGGCTGCCATGCAGCGCCCCTCAGCCGCTTTGGCGCGACCTGCGGCTCAGATGGAGGACCTGATTGTTTGCTTGTCAGAGGCCTGCGCTTTTTCGTTCGCTTCGCCTCGCGTCGTCCGCTCCGCGCGCCTTGGTTTCGCGCTCGGTCCGAGGGCCTTGGCTTCGCGCTCGGTCGTCTGCCTCGCCGGCTCCGCTCGTTGTGGCTTGGTTGCGCGCTCATCGCGTCCTTTCCGTGTGTTTTGGCTTCGCGCTCGGTCGTTCGCCTCGCCGCTTCCGTTCGTTGCGCCTTGGCGTCGCGCTCTTCGCCCGGTTCGTTGTGCCTTGGTTGTCTTTGAACATTTTTTCTTCTTCGGCCGTGCCGGACGTTTTTGAAGCAGCTTCTCCGCCGTGCCTGGGTTTCGTTATCGTACCTGTTGTTAGCCGACCCCGTGCACCGTGGCCGCGGGACTGTCTGTTCAGCCTTCGTTTCGATCGCAGGCGCGCTTCATCGAGTAGTGGCGTGTCTTGCATGGAGCAGCTTCAGGACCCTGGCCAGTCCAGCCGCTTTGGTTCCGACCTTGTTTGCACCGTACACCTTAGAGTCGCAAACAAAGCTTGCAAACTGCAAGCGTAGCAAATGAGGAAAGAACTTTAACGAAACAAAGAACATATAGATCATATGAGACAGTATGTTTTTCCAACAGCAAAAGTAGTTCTGAAGGATTTTTCTTATCCCGGTTTCTTGACCATTTTGTTCTGAAGTGGCGCAGGATCCCAACAGAGATCTTGCGGAGCCGAGCTACGAGCCTCCAGAGTACATGGACACGCCGGACGTGAACAGTCGGGCGTCTGCTGCGTCTCCTCATGATGGTGGGCAGACGTTTGCTGCGGCATTGAGAAGTCGAGGCCACGTTTCGCCGGAACCAGCAGTCTTTGTGCCGCGTTCTTCGGGCCGCTTGTTTGATCGCGGAGTCAAGCGCAAATTGCCGGAACCACCTGGAATCACTCGAGGTTCTGAGGGTTACTTCAGTGGAGTGGCTTCTTGGAGTCAACCTGACACAGTGGACAGTGAGCCTGAAGACGATCCACCGCTGCCTCCAGAAGCTTCGCTCCGTGTAGATTTGAACAGATCTACGAAGTGGGGTCGTTGTCCCGACCAATCGTGTCTTCACAGCATGAAGCCACACTTACTACGGTCTGGTCCTCGTCGGGGGCATCTTGCGCTTTATTGCACCAGGTGGTGGAACAAGGGACCAACCAATGGTCGTGAATGCTGGGGCCGTCGAGATTTTGATGTATTCGCATTTCTGAGCTTGACCGCAGGTTGAGCCGTGAGTACCACGCAATAGAAAATCAACTTTTGCGAAGTGGCAGCAAGCGACACTAATGTCGCCGCAAGTGCGCGGGCGATCTCGAGGACCTGTGCCTGATGGAGCGCCAGATGGCAGAATGTCAAAAAAGAGGTATTTGCAGACTCTTTCTCTTCCCGTCCAGGTCGTTCAAAAAGATGTGTGTAATACTATGTATATACTCTCTCCATCTTGATATGTAGCTTCTTGTTAATAGTTGTAGCCTCTAGGCCATTCATCTCTACCCTCTCTCTCTCTCTATCTACATCAACACCATTTTTCCCTGAAGGGACCTTGGGGAATTGGGTGGGCTTTTCTCATCAAGTCCAGTCCTCGGTTCTCTCCAGGTAGGCAGTTGAAATGGAAGCGATCATCCAGCGTTTTCGTGCGTTTAAACCCATCCCTGCCGAGCCTGCGGCGAGCCGCACTTATCCTCCATTTCCAGAAGTTTCTAACCAGATCAATTCCAGCAGTCTTTGAGGGGTGACAACTGAACTGGAGATGACGTGGATGGATTGTTGGGATTAAATCAACAAACTTTGATGCGTGAACTGTTCGATCTGATCCATGCGTCAACTCCGCATTTCTTGTGTTTTGTGCAAAAGAACATCGTGGACACTGGTGGATCGCTCTCTGTTATTGGCATGGGCATTTCCAGCAGTCTTGAAACGCTTGTTCTTTGCGCCAGGAGTATTGAGGATCCCGGGTCGCACGCCCGGACTGAAGACGAAGAGCAAGCAAGGGAAAAGACTGGCGGGCTGGTGCTTCGCTGTTTGTAGTCTTGTTGGGAGCTGTCACGACATGCGCGCATGCAACTTTAGCTGACAAAACGATGTGAAATCTTTAGTTGACATGAAAGAATGAAGAACGCAGAGCGTCTGTGTGACGTGAACCTGTGGAAGCAATGAGCAAAAAGAGATCATCATGTAGATGAAT